GGCCGGGCGCCGCCTCCGCGTCCCGGGCCCGTGCCCGGCGCACTATGCCGCCGGAAGGGGGAAGCCTGGGGAAGCCCGGCTGTGGTCGCGGCCGCCTCCCCGGCGCGCTCTGCGGCTCCCCAGCCCTGGGCGGCCCCTGGGCTGCGCGCCAGGGCAGCGTGCTTTGCCGACCGCCCCTGCGCGCCTGCTCTCCCCTGCCTGCCGCTCGCGCTCTCGCTCTCTGGTCCTAGCGCACACGCCCGCACGTGGACATGGAGTAGAGGAGAGCTCTGGGAATTCTCTTGGACTCAGGGTAGCCCTGCTTGGAAGCACTCCTGCCTTCCCACTTTCTGGCTTCCTTACCCATTTCCAACCTCCAATTCATTCCTTTCTCATCCACCACTCCAGAAGAGCCCTTGAGATCTCTAGCGGGCCTTCTCTCAAGAGGTGCCAGCCGGGTATACCAACCTGCCCCCCGGACCTCGCACAGACTGAGGGCAGAGAGGAACCCTGGGTCTCTGCCTCGCCCCTAGCGCCAGGTGGTCTCAGGGGACCCCATCTCGTCCTCCTCTGGTCCCCTCTACCCCACCCACTCCCACCCCAGCCCTGGTTGCTTTGGGCTGCTGTTCAGTAAATGTTTGTAAAGAACAGTTCTAAGCAGTTCTGCCTGCTCAAGACGCCGTCATCAGGCAGTCAGGCATCAGGTAGAAGCGGGAACCTTGTCCTCAGAATTCAGTTAAAAAATTAGCTATCTTGGTGGCCTGGGGCGGCGACCTCAAGCCTAAGCCCAGCTGGGTCTTGGCTGTGCCTACCTTCCCTTTACCTGTCAGGGTTAACCACACCTATTCTTAGAATTCGAACCAGGCTTCACTAATTTAAGCTAAATGTCTGTTTTAGATGGAAAGCCATAGTCATGACTGTTAAGCTGTTTCTGGGGAGCCCAGGCCTCTCCTGGATGTTAGAAACGATCTAGCCAAAATTTTGTAATCAGAGATGGATTAGAAACTGGGTCCTGAGATTAGGAAGCTGAATTTCAGTCTTAGACCAAATAGAAGATCTTATGGAGAGGGCTTCTGCATCAGCAAAGAGCAAACAGACCCTGTTCCCAAAGGAGGTGCATGCCAGACCCCAGACAGCTGAGCCAAGGGATCTAAGGAAAGGGGGTCAGTGAAGGAGGGATCCAGGCTTTATGTGGAAGGGACTTCATGCAGGCATCTGTACACAGAAACAGTGTCTGCTTTGCCCACCATGTGCCCTGACATGCATGGGTAGCATGGTGAGCATGGGTGAATGAACAAATGCAGGAGTGATGGTCCCAGCAGTCAGGCACTCCTCAGCTGGTGTCATTTACAAGTAGATCAGGAACAATGTGGAGGGAGAAGGTATGGTTTTGTCTCCTCTGTGTCTTGGGCCCAGCAACTATTATGAACACGACTCTCTTCCCATGACTTGGCAAAGTGGCACAGGAGACCCATCGTCAACCCATGTGAACTGAGCAGAGGCTGCCAGGTAGCTGTTAACAAGGACCTCTAATGTTGAGACATCCCTTACCCATAAGCATCAGCCAAGAAGCTGTGCAAAGTGGTATGCCCCATGCTAGGATTCATAATGTATCTCTGCCCTGGAGAAGTGTGGAGCCTATCACTCCCACAGAGAAGTGAGACAAGGCCAGGTTGGCGGGGGACCTCTTTGTGGTAGTCCTATTCACCAGGATGTGGAATTGAGATCACAAAAGCAGAACCTTAGGCTTATGCTTATATTTGTCATCTTTCTGTCTGAGGCAAGGCCTTGTGTGGCTCAGAATGGCCTCACACTCTCTATGTAGCTGAGGCTGGCCTTGAACTTGTGACCCTCTTGCCTCTACCTTCCAAATGCTGGAATTACAGGCAGGTATCATCTTTATGTTATAAGCATTGGGTTTTGCTTTGCTTGTTGGTGGTAGTTACCTGGAGAGGAAATTTGAAAGGGCACATGACTTCATTCCTGGAGTCACTAAGTGGCTTCGAAGTGCAACGATTTCAAGAGGAGCCTTATCCACACCCCTCTCCATTTGATGCTTGAATGCATTCTATATGATCTGCTCATCTGAGAGACCATTCTGTGCAGGTTGCACATCGTGGGAATGAAAAGGCCTTCACCCTTGAGAGAACTTGTCTGCCATTCAGACAACTCTGTTGTAAGCCCTTCCTTAAAGGGAAGTCACTACCTGGGAGTTTCTATCCATGCAGTTCTACCACAGCTGTCCCTGCCCCTGCCTACCAGCTGCATGGAACTAGTGTAATCAGGCTTCCTCATGGCAAACAACAGGTGTTCAACCTCAACTTATTCTTTTTTAAAAGAACTGAAATGTCCATGGCACTCAGTTGCAGGCTCCACCAGATTCACAGTGCAAGCAATACCAACAGGACTTGATTATTTTCTGGCCTTCTGCTCTGTCTGGGTTGTTTAGAGGTCCTGCTAGTTTAAAGAATCCCACTGCTCAGGTTCAAGTTTGGCAAGAAAGACCCCTGCTTTTGGGGCTGGAGAGACGGCTCAGTGGTTAAAAACACTGGCTGCTCTTGCAGAGGACCCAGATTTGGTTCCTAGCTCCACATTGCAGCTAACAACCATCTATAATTCCAGCTCCAGGGGATCTGATGCCCTCTTCTGACCTCCTACGGTACTGCATGACACATAAAATAAAAATAAAAAGAAGAAAAAAAAGACCCCTGCCTTGGTCCCAGGGCTCCCAAGAAAGGTGCCATTGAATGTCATTGTTGTTGCTAACCCTGAACCAATAACCATGGCTAGAAAATCCTGGTGGATTGATTGGCCCAGGTCTGGGTCACATGCTTCACCCCAAAGCCCCTGACTATGAATGGGACCAGGATGAGCCCACAGACAGAGGGCTGGTACTCTGGAGAATGGAAAATGTTTTGATGGGATGATGAACAACTTTTCATGCCATGACCATGCAGACTGAAGGCATCTGATGTCTCCCTGCATTTTTATCCTAGGAAAAGAGATGTATTTAGGGTGTTCAGTGATAAGCTGTTGGTGTCTGTCTGTGTCGGTACAGACTTGAGGACAGAGCTGAAGCAAGGCTGGAATGTCATCCCCACTGCTTGCCTGCAGCTGCCCTGTCTCTTCCACCATCCCTTTGGCTCTCAGCACTCCATCATCTGCCCTGATAATTTCTTTATCCACATATCTAATTCTGTTGTGGAGGGAGGCTCTAGTCCCGTCAATTATATAAGCCTGAACCACAGACCACAGACTCATTCTCTCTCTCTCTCTCGCTCTCTCGCTCTCTCTCCCTCTCTCCCTCCCTCCCTCCCTCCCTGCTCTGTCCTCATTTTTCAGTTCCTTTTTATTTACCCATCCTTGCTACCTAACTGCATGTTCTCTCTCTCCCTCTCTCCCTCTCTCTTTCTCCCTCTCCCCCCTCTCCCTTTCTCCCGCTCCCTGTCCCTCTCTGTCTCCCCCTCCCTTCCCTTACCTCCCCCCTCCTCATTTGAGGCAGATTCCTCTCGAAGGGCAGCCTGCTCTGTCTTCCCTAAAGAGGGTTGCAGATAGCCTCTTTAGCACCCCAGATCCCACAAAGCAGGCAGTTAGCTGCACCAGGAGTTCAGATACCACTGGATCCAGCAGCTATCTATCTGTGAACATCCACCCAGCAGGTAGATCTCTCCAGAAGAGTCATGTCACTGCACCAGTGTGGAGAGCCACAGCCTCCGCCGCCATTACAAGATGGCGCCGGTATCCGGACCTTCTTAAAAGTAAACATCCTGCCACACCCATAAGGGGCGTGCACAAGAGCCTGCTTTCCCCCGCCTCCTCCCGTGGCGTGATCTTCTTGCCGGCGAGACGGAAAGGTCATGTCACTGCACCAGCAGAAAACCGAGCCCACAAGGATGTGGAGAGACAAAGGCGAGGGCAAACTAATGACTTGAGTCCCTAAGGCTGTGACTGGAAACCCCTGCTGGGCCTTCATAAGGCTGCTGTAGAATATAAGGTAATCTGTAGAAGGAAGAAGCCTGGGCCCTCCACAAGCAGGCCCAGAAGTGCTCTGAGAAATAAATGAACAATTCCAAAGTGTACATGGATACACTAAAACTGTAAAATGTGAGGCTAGTTTTTAAATTAATTACTTTTTATTTTATATGTATGATGGTTTCGCCTACATGCATTTAAGTGTCCCCATGTATGTAATATTCATGGAAGCCAGAACACATTGGATCACCTGGAACTGGAGTTACGGATGGTTGTTAGCCTCTATGTGAGTGCTGGGAACTGAACCTGGATCCTCCTCAAGAGCGGTCAGTGCTCTCAACCACTGAACCATCATGTCTCCAGCCCTTATGAGGCTGGTTTTTCCAGAACTGCATACTCAGAATGCAGCTTCCCCAAAGCTTTCAGGACCATCCTCAGCCCTGAGTGAGGACTCGCACATTTCATAATGAGCTCATCGGCATGCCTAAGAGCCACTTCCCCTTCCCGCAGCTGGTTGTTTACCTTTCACAACATCCAGCAGAACCATCCAGCACGATGTTCCCAATGGACCACTTGGAGCAGGTCCCCAAACCCACAGCCGCCTTCAAAGGACCTAAACCTGTAACTTCTTACATTCGCACTTCCCAAACTTACCCTTTCTGAGTGGCACCTGCCTTGCTACTCTCAAAGTACATCCTGACAAGTATCCCTCACAGTGGCCCTTACCTATGGGGACCCATGCACCCTGCCTTTCAATTCCATGGCATCGACATGGTCCATGAATTACCTTCCAGTAAGTGCTTGTCCATTTGAGACCTCCAGGGATGCAGCACTCATTCAGGGCTTGTTCTCTTAGAAGACGGATCTATCGTTTG